GTCTTCCATTTTGGCTTCGAGAGATCAGCCCTTGTCGTTGCACGTGATCCAAAATCGTCGTCGTCAGTGATCCAGCTGCTAGTATCCGCGCGTCCGGATATGGCGCAGCACGGAATTGAACCCACCATACCGTGCAACTGTAAGTTTCACAGGCAAATCTCTCCACGGAATCCGTGTTACCCTGCCTTTGCGCGCTTTCTTGTATGATCGGAGTGGCGCGGACGGTTTCCCCCGCAAAGGCCGCTTTGCCGTGGAACACGCTGTATTTCTGAGATGCACAGGACCCGCCGAAGGTGAAGCTAGACCACAGCGCTGGGGGCCGCCTCAAGGTCGAGGCATGGGGGTCGTGAGCAAGCCCATGGTTTGTTGATGTCGGAGTTTGGCGAAGCCCTTTTCAGGGCTTCATCCAATGTTCCCTGCGCAAGCGCTTTCGCGACATGCGCTTTGTCACTTCCGCATTTGCACTTTTTCTTTTCAGACGGGCCATCGCGCTTTCTTGCTGGTTTGTGCGAACCAAGACTCCGGACAGACCGTAGTCTCTCTAAAACTCCAAGGAGCAAACTCCGTGCGCAGCTGGCGCGCCCAGTTAGACCCGAGCTGACCCAATCCAACCTTACCTCTTCCCGACTCCCAGCTCATATTGGCATCCAAAAAGAATTCGTTCCAGCACATGAACCGGCCTTCCTACTTTGCGGATCGGCAAGAAATGACACGCAGCGGCTGCATAAGGAGTGCTTATGGTATATGGTGCTATTCAACACGGTTGGTTCCATTCAACTTGGCCTATCTGAAGCTTAATATCCATCTTGAGAGAACCAACAGTCAACGGGTGAAACGGGCACTCACTAAGCTCAAGTGGTTTTTGGAATTGGTGACTCGTTGGAAGACATCAAGCCATTTACATGGCCCGTGTCTACGAATCATGTTTGAGGGCATTCCCTACTCCCTGCAGACCAGCACAGAGCCAAACAAACATCATTTGAAGGAATTTTCCTTTTTAGGTGCCAGTTTTTTTAGGTTCCCACCGTTCATTCGCAGGGGAGTAAAAGTACTGCCCAGACGAGTCCACGTGCGAACTATGGCACCACTGGTGTTCTGCCGGACCCTTGCTAACGCACGTTAAATCACCTTTGCTTGAACAACCTTCTCTTTCCTGTGACTTTTTGTTGGGGACCCCCCAAAACGGATTTCGGTGGAGTGCCCTCCATAAAGACGAGCACCCACATCGCATGTTTCCCCCCCCCCCCCGCCCCGCCCCCTCCGGGAACGGCAGGCTGCCAAGCCATCCCAGCCAGTGGCTCGCGACCAGCACCAAGAGCTGGCGAAAGCACGGGCGCGGCCGGCGAGCGCTTGAAACACCCGGTGTGTCTGATTGGGGAACCCCTCTAGGTCAACCAGTAGTGCCCTTTTACCCCTTTTTTGGGGAGGGTTCCCCTACTAAAAGAGACTACAGAAAAAGGGTACCCTTATTCTATTCTCTCTGCTGGAGGACCTGGCCCCAATGTGTTTTTCTTTTGGGTTGGTGGCCCGCCGTTATTTTTGGGTGTTTCGCAGGGAAACCACAAGGAACACCGCTCCCCCTAAAAAGCACCCGCATCCATAGAGGTAGCTTCCTTTTGGTTTTTCTTTGATAGACAACGCAGACAAAAAGGGTGTACACCAAAGACACGGCCACTTGCCATTGGCAACCATAATGAGGGCGGGAAAATGATCGCTGTGAATGCTGGTTGTTGTGCCATGAGCCATGTTGATACTGTGCCTTTTGCAGCATCGTGAAGGAGTTTGCTTTGCTGTACTACTTTGCAACGGAATGCTTCAGCTTACGCCACCTTACGCGCGGAGCTTTCTTTGCGCGACACATGTGTCGGTTTTGCTTACACCAACAGCTTACGCACGTTGGTGCTTACGCAAAGGTTGAGCAGCGTGAGACAATTCAGGCTAACAGCGGATCCGACGAGGGTCCACGTGACACGCCAGGACCACACAGAGGACATGGAGCGAGCCCTGCGCTGGCGGGAGGCGCCAGGGATCGTAGGGGGAAATTACAGGAAAACTGGGTTCCCCTATTTTGAGACAACCCCTTTGGATGATCCACACATCACAACAAGGACGTTTGAGCCGCTGGCAGATGATTTCTTTCTTCCTTCTCCGGGTCAGTTTGCCTCCGCTTGCGCTTGAGGCAAAGGTGCGGGAGCTTTCGGTGGAACTGCACAAGCATCGAGAGCGGCAGAAGCTGCTGGACGGGGTGGGGCGCTTTGGGTATGGCCCCCAGGTAAAGAGGTGCGAGTGGCGCGAGAGGCTTTTTTTGATCCAAGGCACGGCAAGCATGGCCATCTATGACGTCACCAGTTGTTTTGATCATGATCTTGCCAAGTGTTTCTCTGTTTCCTTAAGCCCCAGAAGTCCCCACGACACTCCGAAACGTGAGGATGCGCAGCGCTCCTTGGAGCAGCGGATAGCGGAGGAGAACCTGAGGCAGGAGGAGATCCGCCAAGCAGAGGCCGGGGGCTGGCACAGCAGCTACGTCAAATTGGAGTGTCAATCATCCGAGTTCCCGGATGCCAAAGACATACCCCGGCGATCAGTCTTGGTTGTGTTTCAAGTAATTCCGCTTGAGTGATACGCATGATGCCCGAGTTTGACAACGCGGCCCGATCGCCATCGATGTTGCTTGATGAGCTTGAAATTCCGTGGTTCTGGGGGCGGCGGGGAGGGGGGGGTGGAGACTATGGAAAGGTTCTGTCAATTGCATGTGAAGACCTGTGTTGAAGCCTTCGTTGGCGGGTGCCTTTATTTCCTCAGGAGAAAGTCAAAAGGCAAACCCTGGCCAAGTTGAGACTTTGTCCAGGTCCCAGTTGTGTCAATCCAATATTTCTTGAACTGGATTAAAAGCTTGAGGCAAGTGCAAGTTGCTAGTTGCAAGAAGCACAGTACCAGTTGCAGGGCATTTCCCGCTGCCAGCAGTCACGCAATAGCGACATGACACCGAGTCTGCTTTGAACACCTGGACTTGTTGTGCTCGTAGCTGTTGGCATTGCTGCGTTGGTTGAGCTTGAGCCCTCAGCGCTGCGGGCACTGCAGGGGTCTGGGCTGGGGTCGCATCGACCTATTGCGACCAGCAAGACCTGGCAGAACAAGCTACGTGCAGCATCCGTGTCTGAAGGACCTAAGCCACACGAGCCTTAACCTTTCGCGCTCTTTAGTCAAGCCGACGTTATTCTGAAATAGCTGTCCCAGAGCCCAGGCGCGGAAGCCTGTGGAAGATCTTGGAGTGTCCTTTGCGGAAGCTCCGCGGGAAGCCTAGGAAAAGGAACTTTCAAGAGCCCCAACACAGTAACATCGGCTTCGCGCAGTAGCCAGGTCTGAAGCGATGCCAACTTTGCGCAATTTCGGTGAGAGTTGCTGCGAAGCTTCCTTTGGGGGCAAAGAGCTGCAAAGAACTTGCAACAAGTAGTTTTTCGCGAAGTCCGACCAGCGCAAAGCAACCTTTCAGCAGCATCGTTACAGGGCAAAGCAACCTTTGAGATTCTTGCTGGGTACAGCTGTGGCAATTTGAAAGGCACGCGCCACGGATACTTGCTGTGTACCTCTGGCAACATTGTGAATGCTGCCACGCTAACCTGTTTGCATGAGCTTGACGCGGGCCTGGCGTCGAGCGTTGCATCGACTGCAAGAGGTTGGATGCGCAAACCTGTGTGTCTGTCAAGAGGGAGTCAAACGGCAAAGCCTGGCAGGGAACAAGTTGAGACATTGATACTGTGCCCCTAGGTTGAAGGCTTTCCAACGCTTGGGACAGTGCAGTTTGCTGCAAGCAGTTCTGTTTGCAAGAGACAACCATTTTCTGTTTTTAGGATGAGTTGAGAGGAGCTTGCGATCAGAGCACTCTGCGCCCAAACTTGCCACGACCAGCGCTTGCGGCTTCGGTCATAGCAGACATGGCTTGCTGACCTGTGCCGCAATCAAAACCCGGGTAGATGAAGGTTAGCATGGGGCAGTCCCGGCCGGAAATAGTTGCGGCCGCCTTTCTACTTCTTTACACGGTTCTGGTTCATCATTTTTGTACCAGGTTTTGATTGTGACTAACAGCTTGCTGGAGCCCGGAGCTGCAAGGGAGCGTCGCGATGATCCCCGTCAGTCTTCCTGGACTCTCTAGGATGCAGCCGTTTTGCTGAGCGCAACAAGAACTCAAGCAACCAAGGCAAGTTCAGCTTGCTGCTGCTGCGAGAAGCATAGTGCTGCAGCACACGTAGTCAGCTACTCAAGCTTTTGTGGATGTTGTCTTCTACGCGGCGCAAGCGCTTTGCCCGGTGCACGACGTTCGCCAACTGGAGTTTTGGTCGTAGTTGTGGGGATCTCTGCGTGGACATTGCTTGGTGAGCTTGGGCTGCCGGTGCCAGTTTCCACTTGTGTTTCTGCTTTGCAGAGGTCCCAGCTCTCGTGTAGTTGACAGCCGCCAGCTCGTGGCCAGATTGAAGCCACGCCAATTTCCCGACGAGGCTTGGAGGCAGGCACTCAGGCGCTGGCTGTTTGCCAGAGACCAAGTGCTGCTCCAAGTAGTTGGCGCCAGATATGCACTGCGCCAGATTGCTTCTATGCGCCTGCCAGTATTTTTTTGGCGGAGTGACCATTGCTGCATTGGCGCAGCTTACTGTGGCAACATGTCAGATAGCTGTGGGGGCCTGGCGGCATTCCCCCAAATGCCACCTGCTTAGCTTGCTGGCGGCCATCAATCGGTGGCCGGTTGTGCCAGGAGTGCTGGCTGGGGGCAACGTGGGGGTTGTTCCAAAGGCCCGTTACATGGGATGACCATTGGGAAAACCGCTTAAAAATATATTTGCATGGGAAAGGTTACCCATGATCGTTTTGGGGCAAGGAATATTGATCAACCCACAGAAAGAGGAAGGATGAATTTGGGTGCACCGAACAAAGTTGTGGATTGTTTGTTTTTGTCCCTCCTTTGTAGAGCGAGATTTTGTTGTAAAGCCACCCAAACCCAGAAACAAGATCACTTGATGCAGTACTACACTTGCACTGAAAAGGCGCGATTTGCATGCTTGAAAGTGTAGAAGCCGCAAAGCGCGGCAACACGAGATGGTCCCCCTCGATTTGCTTTGGTTCCCCAAGCAGTGCGCTAACACTAAGGGGTCCTTCCTCTGACACGGAACTTTGTTTGTGGTACTTACGTACAATCGTGACCTGATAAATCGTGAAGTGCGTTTCGACTGGGTCGAGATTTGGCCGGCGCTTTTCGGCTGCGCAGGCTCGCGCAAAAGTTCCCTTGTGAGATGTTCATGTGCGTTTCGACTGCGCTCGCACAAAGTGGACGAATTTGGGTGTTTTTCTAGGATGTGCTTTCGCTGTGGTGCCGTGCGAACTCCGAAAGCCGTTGATCGGAAAACCCTCTGCGCACTTTGTGTGGGTCGGATTGCTCTCGCTGCGGCGCGGTGCAAAGTTTGAACATTGAAAGTGAACCTTCTGCGCACTTTGTGGGGGTCGGATCACTCTTGCTGTGGCGCGGTGCGAATTCTGAACATCAAAGGTGAACCCTCTGCGGACTTTTGGCGGGCCTGATCACCCTTACCCTCTGCAGACTTTGGGCGGGTCGGACTGCTCTGGCTGTCGGAAGTGAACCCTCTGTGGAGTTTAGGTGGCTCGGATCTGCGGTGCGGTGCAAATTAAGCAGAGGACCTGCAAGGCTACTCTTTTCATGATCTTGTTGGGTTCTGGCGGAGAACCAATACGTAGAGGGCCCAGCTCTTGCCAAGAGATTGTACCACGAGATCCTGTCCAGAGATCATGCGCGTAGATCTTGCCAAGAGAGCCTACCAAGGGATCCTACCTATACATCTTGCGCAGGGATCCTGAGAAGACCCCTGCAGTCCGTGAACAGAACGCTTGTAGAGGGTATCCGAAAAAGAGATACGCATCCGAAAAAGAGATACGCAAAGATCCTGCAAAGATCCTCCACAGATAGCTTGCGCTGGTCCTGCGTATAGAGATCCACTCAACAGATCTTGCGTAGGACCTGCCAAGGTTTCGTGTCGAGACATCTTGTAGAGGACGCCCTGTACAGATCCTGAAGTGAGAGCTTGTAGAAAGTTCTCTGGGAGATCCTGCGCACAGATCTTGCCAAGAGATCCTATCAAGAGACCCTATCCATACATGCCGAATCTGTTGCTCTTGCAACCTCCTTCCATTTTACATGTTGCCTCAGCTGTTGTGTGTTTAAGATGTCGCTCGCTTTTGCAATTTCATACCTCCTCCAACACTTTTGTAATTTTGTCGTAAAGCGAGTCTAAGTGAGTCCGAAACGAGAGAAAGAGAAATTGGCTTTGTGGAAGACAAGGCACCGTGTAACCACACCTGAAGTAACCCTGAAGCCCTTGCTGAACCAGCCAATCACCTAGCACAAGTCAGCCCCAAGCGCCAACCCAAGACTTGCCCTTAAGATCTACTCCAGCCGAAAACCCACGATTAGACCAACTCCCAATTGCCGCCAAATCAGGGACACGAGCCCTAGGCTCAAGAGAGGCAGGGGAGGCTCTCCAGCCTAATCCTGGTCCAGGTGATGCTTGGGATGTCAGCCCCTCAGGAAAATTAGGGATACCAGCGCTAGTAAACAACGGAACACGCTCTGGCAAACGTGGCTGTGGACAAATAAAAGGACCAAGGCCACACCATTTGTGGCTTTGTCGTAGCCGTATCTTTGGAGTAGACATGAGTTGAAACAAGAAGTGAGGCAGCTCCAACCATGTTTCAGGTTCCCTGTTAAAGGCTCAATGAATTGCGATCCTGGGCACCATCAACCCAGACCGCATGGACCATCCAAGCAGGCGCCCTCTCCAATCATTGTAAGTTATCACATGACACATGGTCACATTTGCTTGGCTGGTTGGGCAATCTCTTGCAGTTTCCCATGCCCTGTGTGCGTGCTTGACGCCGCTTTGTCTCAAGCCACGGCCCACAAGCTGATCTTGGCCCGAGAGCCAGCAATGCCGAGGAGCCAGCCCAAGCCCTCATTGGCTCTGCGGCCCAGCGTAAGCCCAGCGGAATTTGTGATAGTGAGCTTAACTCTTGTCCAGCGATGCTTGGCAGAGCGTCTCTCTTGACAGCCTGCCAACATCTACTAGCAACGCAGGCACTTGCCTGCGCATCCCCAGATTTATTGACGCAAGGCGATCGTGATGATGAGATGAGGTGAGGGAAAGCAACATCCGGAATTCCGAGGAACCACACCTTGACAGCGTCAAGTTTGACTGATCTGGCAAAGGTTTAGGGAGCACAGGGGCTTCAAACAAATCGAGGACCTGCACGTTGCGGCTCTCGGTGACCCAAATACGCCGAGGCCTGCTGAACTGAGCTGTTTGCACGGTGCTCAGGCTCGATGTGTGCACTTTGAAGGAATGCGTTCGCTCCATTGCATGCAGGATGACTTGGAACGAAGACGCTGTTCAAATTGCTGAGAGCAGGGCTAGAGCAGGGCATTTCCTGCCAAAGACT